CCCATCGATCGAACGACCGCGTCGACGGACGGGTCGACGAACGACGGGACGCGCGACGGGTTCGGGGACACGCGTGCGCGATGACGGGAGGCGTCGATGCCGGGCGACGAGGGGTGCGGACGCGGGTGATGCTTCCGTTGGATTGCGTCGAGACGCGCGGCGACGCGCCGCGGGACGCGACGCGGACGGCGGCGACGCTGGACGCGCTGAAAGCGTCTGGGGTCGAGGGCGTCATGGTGGATTGTTGGTGGGGGATCGTCGAGGGTGCGGCGCCGAGACGGTACGCGTGGGAGGGGTATCGGCGATTGCTGGAGATGTGTCGCGCCCGGGCGTTGCGCGTGGACGTCGTCTTGGCGTTTCACGCGTGCGGGAGCAACGTCGGGGACGGTGCGTGCGAGATCGCGCTCCCGCATTGGGCGCGGGGGGTGGAGGCGAGGGAGAACATGTATGCCGACCGTCGAGGATCGGTCACGGAGGAGTGCTTGTCGTTGTGGGGGGACGAGACGCGGGACGCGCGGCGAGGCGATAGAACGCCGCTCGAGTGTTACCGAGATTTCATGCGCGCGTTCAGGGACGCGTTCGAGCGCTTCATGCGCGTCGACGCGGGAGAGGATGGGCCGACGATCACGCAAGTCATCATCGGACTCGGGCCGTGCGGGGAGCTGCGATATCCGTCGTACAGGGCGTCCTCGGGATGGCGCTTCCCGGGCGTCGGCGAGTTTCAGTGTTACGACGAGCGCGCGCGGGCGTCGCTCGCGTACGAGGCGGCGGCGTTCGGGAAGCCCGAGTGGGGACGGCATCCGCCTCCGAACGGACCGGACTACGCGTGCGATCCCGAGGGACGACCGATTCCGCCTTTGCGCGAGACGAGCGCGAGCGACGACGAGCCCGAGGCGAAGAGACGACACGCGATGCCGCACGTGGAATCCGACTCGAGCCTGACGAGTGCGAGTTTTTCCCTCGCCCCCGAGTGCGCGACGCGAAACTTTTTCGCCACCGACGGCACGGGGTCGTGGGACACGCCGCACGGAAAGTTTTTCCTGTCGTGGTATCACCGCGAGCTCGTCGCGCACGGCGAACGCGTCTTGGAGCACGCCGCGCGGGAGTTTCGAGGCGTCGACGCGACGCTCGGCATCAAGTGCGCCGGCGTGCACTGGTGGCACGACCATCCGAGCCGCGCGGCGGAGTGCGCGGCGGGGTACTACAACGCCAGGCCGAGCTCGAGATCGACCGCGGACGTCCTGTGCGGGTGCGAGCCCGCGGGGTACTCGAGCGTGATTGATTTGTGCGCGCGCTTCAACGTCGAGCTCACGTTTACGTGCGCCGAGATGCGCGACGTCGAGCACGACGACGCGTACATGTGCTCGCCCGAGGGACTGTTCGAAGAAGTCGTCCGATGCGCCGCCGAGCGCGGGGTGCGGGTGAACACCGAGAACGCGCTCGCGCGTTTCGACGCCGACGCGTACGCCCAGATTTTGCGCGCGTACGAGCGACACGGCGCGGCGACGATGGCGGCGACGACGGCGAGTGAAGACGCGACCGCGAACGAGGAAAATGGATCGCTTCGCTCGGCGTCGAGCGATGAGACCACCGCGCCGGGCTCGCGCGCGTCGTTCGAATCGAACCGCGGCGTCCGCGAACGCGTCCTCGGCGCCTTCACCTACCTGCGCGCGTGCGACGCCCTCTTCGAACCCGCCAACTTTACGCGCTTTTCAAACTTTGTGCGACGCATGTCAGAGCTCTGACGCCGCCCGCGCGTCGATAATGTTGTATCACCATCACACGCCGCCGCCGCCATCGTCCCGAGAACGCGCGATCGCGACGGCGTCGACCGAGGTCTCGGCGCCATCGCGCGCGGCGCTGGCGACGCGCGCGAGGGACGGGACGCGATCATTGAATCGCGCATTCGAATCCAATCGCGTCACACAGTGCCGCGCGACGCGCTCTGCACGCGCGCTCGACGCGCTCTGCACGCGCGCGCGGGACCTCGACCGTCGCGCGCGACGCCCGCGCCCGCGTGCGATCGACGGGACGTCCCGTGCGGGCGTCACGCGCGATGGATGGCGTGGAGAGGATGGAGACGACGACGACCACCGACGCCTCGCCCGCGCGCTCCGTGGCGTCCGCGACGTCGAGCAGACTGCTGCGCATGCTCGGTGAAGACGACGATTACGAAATCGTCGCGGAGTTTCGATGCGCGGAGACGGGCACGCTGTGGGTCATGCGCGAGGACGCGCGCTCGGGACGGAGACATTATTACGACGCGAAGACGAACACGCGAGAGGAGAAACGACGCGAGACGTGGATGCTCGAACGACGGGTCGTCGATGAGTTCGCAAAGGAATCGGATATGGATGAAAACGGCGCGTCGGCGCCGAGACCGCGGGGATGGGACGACGACGCGCGCGCGGATTCGGACGACGGCGGCGAGGAGGAAAAGTTCGTGAGCGCGTCGACGGGGCACAAGTACACGCGATACCGGGACGAGGACAGAGATGCGTATTATTACTTTAATCACGATACGGGTGAGACGTCGTGGGAGCATCCGGACGGGGACGGCGCGGAGTTGCTGCAGTTCGCGGGTCTCGGCGCCGTCGTCGCGGCGACGGCGCCCGTCGCGGCGCCCGTCGCGGCGGAGGCGCCGAGGCGAGAGATCACGCGCGAGGAGTACATCGAGGCCAAACTGCAAAAGATGATGCTCGTTGAGATGAAGTGGATGGAGAAACAGCCCCCGGTCGCGGCGGTGCCGGAGAGACCCGACGGTTTCGAAGGCGTGTACGGCGCGCGCGATCAGTTTTGGGATCCCGACGCGGATACGTACTCGGTCGATAACAACGAGGGGAGCGAGCGCGGGGACGACGCGCACGCGGACGCGCACGCGGCGATCGATGACCTCGACCGGTTCACGTCGGCGGTGGACATGGCGACGCCGGAGGACATGCGGCCGCGCAACGCGGCCAAGGCGTTTTTGGATGATTTGTTGACGCGCGTGTACGAGAAAATGGAGGAAGAGGAGGACTTTGCGTACGCGCAGACGCGCGCGAACGCGAAAGTCGCCGAGTACAAAAAGAAGGGAAAAATTGTCGGCGTGCGGCGGCTCAATGTAGAGGAACTTCCGGAGATTTCCTCGGATTTCGCGTTTGAAAAGACGCGCGCGGAGGAGGCGGAGAAGCGCGTCTCGGCGCGATTGGCGTTCAACGAAAGCGCGGAGGCGCGCGAGAGCGGTCTCGCGCCGCGTCTCATCGCCCCCGTGGATGGGCATTACACCAAGCGGACGACGCTGATTAAAGTCGACAGCGGCCACGACGCGGCGACGCTCTGGAATCCGAGGCGAAGCGGATACCTCGGCGGTTCGTACCGCGACGACGACAAAGACGACGACAAAGACGACGACAAAGACGGCGCGGGCGTCTCGGCGCGACCGCGCGAGAGGGAAAATATCAACGTCGACCGTGGTCCCGCCGCCACGGACGCCTCGGACGCCGGCGCGGCGCCGCGTCGCGCGAACGCCGCCGA